CAGGGAAACAATTTAATGCCTAATATCATAAAGAAAGAGAAACTAATCTATCCTAGTAAAGACTGGCATCTGCCACCGAACCTGGGATCCATGTTTCCCAGAAGTTCTGCTATCTCTTCATTGCTAGCCATTGGGAGACTACAACTGCTTTTTAACACTACCTTTTTGATATCTGTATTATCTCTCTCACTCTTGTTGTGGTCAAGGTTCCAATCACAATTTTTTGGCATTGTTTTTCTTCTTGTCCAGTACTTTATAGACAGTGTTTGCCAGCTAGTGGTTGAGGACTGGGAGTTATACTGAATGGGCATCTAGCTCAGCAAGAACTAAAAAAATGGAACCAATAATAACTGGGAATTTTCCAGTTAGGGAACTGAGGTCTACTGTATCCTTGACCAGCCAGAAACCAACCGTTAATCTATTATGTTATTGTGTATTGGGAGGTAGACAAATGTACATGACTGGCAGATAAGGAATTCCCTTAGAGGGCAGGAAAATCTTCTGCACATGCTTTGAGTACAGTTAGCAAAGTTTTCCTGCTTTCCACTATCCTTTTGGTCAACACTAATAAAGAGGAGTCTTGTCTCAGAGATAAGTAGGCTGAGGTGGTTACTTTTATTTCTGGTAACCAAAAGAGTGATCATTCCACAGTTTGGAAGGAGGGTATAAAAGTCTTTTGGTAGTTACCTCCAGGACAAATGTCAATTGAGCTGGTTCTGTTCAAAATCCTCAACAGTACCTTGAACTCAATTACATGCCTTCTTTAGCCAAATCAATGGGCTGCAAACTCCACCCTCCCACTAAGATTAAGAGTGTGACCAGTTGAATTTCAACGTCAGAAGCCTGTTCTTTACTGTGAAGCTAAAAACACAGATTTTCAATCTGAGAAAACAGAATATAATTTAAAAGGATAACTATTTTGTGTATGTTAAGTCTTTATAGAAATCACAACGGTATATGGGCAACCACAGAATTATAAATAAGTTGTGATTTAAAAGCTTGGTAAATTCATTGTTTAGAACTTGCTACATATTCCTCCACTAAAACATTCACAAATCACAACTAACATTTATCGAACATTTACTGCTTGTCCAGAGCTGTGCTAATTGCTTACATTATTTTCTTAGTTAATCTGAACAACTCTATGAGGGCTAAACTCCTCTATTTCTCATTTTAGGCATGGGAAAACTGATGCACAGAGAGGTTAGGTAATTAATCCAGGGTCATACAGCTATAAAGTGGCAGGGCAGAATCTGAACCCAAGCAAGCAGAGTATCTCCAAAGTCTGCCTTACTCTGAAGCTTAACTATCATGAATTCCATCTCTTGCTGATTGTCAGGTCCAGAGGCTACTCTATCCCAGAGCAGTAAAAGTAGTAATTACTAGGTAGTAATAGTAATTTGAGTTCTGGAACATAAATACAAGAAAAAAACATTTTTCCTTTTTTTCTTGATAAGAAAATCTAGGCATTGAATGAAAATCTATAAGGCATGATGTACCTGATCTATATTTCTGAATGTAAAATTAAAACAAAATTAACCTTTAGACAAATTAAAAATTTCCATTTTCTTTTCTCTTAAACTCCTTTGAGTATGATGGTCACAAAGGTATCCCTTCATATACCTTTCTATTTCACTGACATTGGAAACCTATTTTGTACAAGCTAACAAGGACTTAATTCTTGATTACATAAGAACTATTCTTATTTTCAAAAACTTGGATTTTTTAAAGAATTAAACAATCACTTAGAAGTATCAAACAAATACTATTGATTTGGCAATTATCAGGCATTTTCTTGGGTTTTATAGACTTTCTAAACTTCTTTGATAATTATTTTTCTAGAAAAATTTCTAGGTTCTTTCCCCCTTTATCATGTAAGCTTTCTTAGTTTAAAATTCTGTATTCTTAAATTCTAAAATTTTATTCAGACAGGGCAATCAAATAACAATGTACTTTCTGATCAGTATTTATTTCTAAATCAACCTGAGTTCTGCTCTTTGCTCAATGCAGACAGATCTGAAGTATTTCTTCCAGCAGTTATTATGAGTTTGTCTTACTACCTAAGGCTAATGAAAAGAATGTGTACATTTACACTTTAAAAGAAAGAAGAAAACAGAACAATCTTTACTGAGGTTTAACAGGTACCTAAGATTCTAAGTAAAAGTACTTAGTGCCTCGGATGGCACATTTCTTCTCTTCCATCATCTTATACTTTTCTCCCAAAGTGAAGCTCCATAACTTTAAACATGATTTCAAAAATGCCAGAATTCCTCTGTTAACAAGGCGATTGATTCTACTTATCATAGCTAGCTGAATGTAGTTAGAGCTGGTTTGCCAGTAGTGGTGATAGGTTACAGTGAGTCACCCTGACTTCAACCAGTGCCCCTGGTGACCAATGGCATGTACTTATGAGGTAATGGGTCAGAATTCAGGCTCCAGGCTGTGGTCGAGGAGCAGCTTTTTTTAAGACAATGTTAACTGTTACTGGAATTCTACCCTAAAACTTGGCACCACCTTGCAACTGAATACTTCCCAACATTTACAGACAATGACATACCCTCAAACTTGCTAAGTGAGACACATCAAGGGAGTGTTAGGGGTGGTGGGGGCCCTCCCCCTAGTAATCACCGATGGACTTCCTAAAGTAGTGATACCTAAGCAGAGTCAAGAAGAATAAAAAATTAGGCAGGTCAATAAAATGGGGGAAGGGAGTACCATGCATAGGAAAGAAAACGTGCAAAGACACCAAAAGGGAATAAAAGAATGAAACATTCATGGAACTGTAAGTAGTTTGCCTGATACACACATGTGGAAGAGTAGGAACGGATGAAGCTAGAGAAAGAAACTGGGTCTTCATAAAAGCATTTACATACAATGCTAAGACTTCAGACTGCATTGAAGGCAGTGGAGAGTCAGAGAAAGATGTGAAGCAAGAATGAAGTATGAGCAGATCCTCTCAGGCTTTAATGGATGGATTGAAAGAGAACAGGAAAATCAATTAGAAGGCTACTATAATAATTCAGGTGAGAAACGATGTGGGCCTCAACTAAGCAGCAATGGATATGGAGGCATATGTTCAGATTTGAGAAATATTAAAAATGAGAGAATACTGACTAACATAGTAGAAGGCAGGGAAGAGGGCAGAAACTAGGACAACCTCCAAGTTGCTAGTGTGGGTAGCTGGTTGAAGTAAAGGATTATGATATAGGTTTAGGCTGGACAGGAGATGAAATAAAGCCAGTAAGGGATAAAAGGACTGTATAGCTAACATACACTGACACTCATAAGGCTGCAAGTTTTCCATTTATTACATTATCTCTAGAGAGAAAGATCATCATTTTAAAGGTCATTATAGCTCTCAGTTATTATAGAAGGCATACTACGTATTTCCAGAAGCTAAAAAGAGGCCATGGTCAATGATAAATATAACATGTATTCCAATGACTACCAGAATGGATTAAACCCGTATGTTCAATTCACATTAAAATATGTATCACAATCCATCTGCTTTTACGTATGCATCAGAAACAATTTCTAGAACAAATGCCAAATATATTTGTGATGCTTTATTTCAAATTACCAAGCCATGCCATTGTACTTGAACTGTTTGATACCTGGATAAATACCAAATGTAGAGACATGTTGGGAATCTATTCTCGTAGTTTTAAAAAATTCTTAAATTTCATATTTTAGAAGAAAAAAAGACTGTTTTATGGCATTTCACTCCAGAATGCACACTTTTTCTTGAGAGGATGAGCACCAAGAAAAATTCCAAAATATACTGTCAGTATAGTATGAATGCCTAGACAACACAGCTAATACATTGGGATGAACTAAAACCGAAACTGGACTGACTCTTTATAAGTATCTAGATACTTGCAAAACAGAATAATTCTGAAGAATTCATTAAGATCTATTTCATCCTGGATGAACTATTAAGATATATTTTAGCCAGGTCTGCTTGAATGGAATGAATTTTCTGTCAAATTTCTGAGCCACAACTTTTCAGCATTCCTCAAGAAATATTTAATAAAACTTACACAAACAAGTATCTATTTTCATAACAACCATTAATGTGGACCTAGAATAGCTTTACCCTATTTACTTCTCAATCTGGCACAATCAAGATCATGACAGAATCAAATTCCAACATGCTAAGGTCTTTATAGTGTTAAAAAGCAAAGATGTCACTTTGAGGACTAAGGTGCACCTGACCCAAGCCATGATATTTTCAATCACCTCATATGCATGTGAAAGCTGGACAATGAATAAGGAAGACTGAAGGAGAATTGATGCCTTTGAATTATGGTGTTGGTGAAAAATACTGAATATACTATGGTTTGCCAGAAGAATGAACAAATCTGTCTTGGAAGAAGTATAGCCAGAATGCCCCTTAGAAGCAAGGGTGGTAAGACTTTGTCTCACGCGCTCTGGACATGTTATCAGGAGGGACCAGTCCCTAGAGAAAGACATTATGCTTGGTAAGATAGAGAGTCAGCGAAAAAGAGGAAGACCCTCAACAAGATGGATTGACACAGTGGCTACAACAATGGGCTCAAGCATAGCAACAATTGTGAGGATACTGCAGGATGGGCAGTGTTCCGTTCTGTTGTACACAGGGTTACTATGAGACAGAACAGACTCAACTGCACCTGCAACAACAACAAGGTCTTAAATGAAAAGTTAGTAGCTAACAGAAGTACTAAGAAGTGACACTGCTTCTCATAAACAGGACAGTCATGCAACAAAACTGTCATCAAATTCCATCTCCTATGAACATTTAGATTCATCAATGTGCTATGGCAAGTTTTAGTAACATAGTTTTTTTTTTAAACATAGTAGAAACACTATTTATGAAGATGGTTGCCTCAACCATAAAACACTGTATAGAAATATATATGTGTGTGTGTATTTAAAGTTACATGTTAATTTTATTTTCTTTATAACTTATAAATTCAATATCTTGACAGTACTATCATTATATTAGAAGAATTACTTACTCAAGAAGATCCGGGTCTAGTCCTTCAGATATCATTTTGTTTCTTATTGCCAACAGTGGAACACCCTAAGCAAAGAACACAAGACAATAATTCAATCATTAAAAATGCTTCCTTTATATGTCTCTGTATACCACCCAAAACAAGACCTTTAGATGCCCCAATATTTAAAATAGTTTTTATTTTGTCTTTATATATGTGTACAGCACTTGAATAATCTAATAAGGTACACATTCTACACTGACTTAATGGAATTAGTGATATATGCAACACCACATAAGTAAAAAAATCATATGGCACCAAAACGATGAAAACACTGGTAACTCAAAGGTCTAAAGTGCTGGCTTGAGTAGCATCCATGAATACTTAACAATACGAGTAAAATATCTTTTTAAATAAAGATTTCAGAGCTTTCTACTCGTAAGTATAGCTATGTTAATATTCTTTTAATAAGCAAATGGTCCAATTCCATTTGGACACATTAGACACAAAGGGTAAAACAGAATTCAAGAACCCTCTTGGCACTATATTACACATCTTCCCTACACCAATATAAACACTAAGTAATAATAATTCTAGAAGTGCATAAGTTGCAAAAACATTGAGAACATGTGAATTTCAAAGTCCAGGTTAAGAACACCAAAATAGCAAGAAAAGGCTACATCAGAAATAAATACACATTTTCTTGAAAAGGGAAAGGATTTGATGAATAAACATTTATTGAAAGCTCACTCGTAAAGCTCTAGGGGGAGAGGATGCAATCAAGTCTCTGTCAACTCTCCCACTTCTCACCATCTCAACACTGAGGAAATACAAATTTGATGTGTTAAATCTGAGGGCAATGATTATATCACCTTCAAAAGTAGGTATGGGCCGCTGTGTGTTATATCTTTTCACCCCATGTGACAGAAGGGGTAAGATAAGTCAAAGCCCATGTGGGACACAGACCAGTCACCTCTCTTTTTTTGTTGTACACTCTTCCCTTCAGTCCTATACCGCTAGCCAGTTGTGACATTCAGTATTGAACTTGAGGATACAGAAGAGGTCCTTAGGAGCTCTGATGTTCCAGTCCAGTTTTTCAGAGCCCTTCCCTGAAATTTCTGGGCACCGACCCTGCTAATTTTTCTCTGCTTTCTTTTGCAATTGTTCCCAGTGTATTATCCGGCCTCGGGAATCTTAAAGGGTAGTTAGTAGTACACTTACTGTGGTTAGCAGCAAAATTCTGATTCATCAAAATCCCACAACTCAATCTTTAACATCACTGTGGCAGCACAACACTTTATGCTGAGAAAATAAATACATAATTGGCCCCTGCCCTCAGGGAATATATAGTTTAACAGATCGTGTAAATAGATGATTACAACACAATCGTGACATTCTTACCAGAGGCCTGCACAAAGGGTAATGTTATACCAGAGGAAAGGCAGGTTGGGCTTAAGGACCAGTGAAGAATTGAGCTGAGTCTTGAAGATAGGATAGGAGTTTGTTTAAAATGAAAAACACAAAGACTTAGAAATATATACAAATCTTTAAATAGTCTACCATACACAAGCTTGTCTCAAATGCACTTCTTTTAAGAACAAGTATATACTTATCCAGATATTCCCTTCCCCAAAATGCTGATTTTATTTTGCATTTCACCAAAAAAAATAAAAAAATAAAAGTTTAAGTCTAGGCAAGCACATGTACAAATATGAGAGCCAAATGGATTACAAGTTCAATACAAAATGTCTCCAAAGTTAATGACCATATATCTCTCAATCTCTCATAGAAATGTTGCAGATCATGTCAAATTAAGTCCACATCATTAACCAAAATTTTTATTTATTAAATAAGAAAATCTTATTAAAAATTTAATTCTTATTTATCTTTTTTTCTGATTTGTCCAGAAAACGCAGTTATAGAAGGAGTTAGATGATGCCTTCTACAATGATAGTCTCCTATTTTGTCTATGGAGGAGAAAAAAATGCAAGTCTTCTTACAGCTTGCTAGATTAAAGGAGGATAGGAAAGCCAAGCTTCTTTCAAATTTATAGGTTACTCAGAAGAATCTCTTTCATGAGAGGCAGTAAAAGCAAGGCTGTCATGTGCAGGCCCATTTGCACATTTATCTCCGTAACTATTGTATTTTGTAAGTTAGTAAATTTAATCTATAAGACTCAGATAACAATGGATACTTAAATGCATCCTAAATATTGTTATTGTTCTTAGCTGCCATCAAGTTGGCTCTGACTCATGGTGATGCCATGTACAGCAGAAATGTTGCCTAGTCTTGCACCATCTTCATGATCATTGGTATGTTCAAGTCCATTACTGCAGCCACTATGCCTTTTGAGTGTTTTCCAACCTAGGGGACTCATCTCCTAGCACTATATCAGACAACATTCTGTTGTGATCCATAGTGCTTTCATTAACTAATTTTCAGAAGCAGATTGCCAGGACTTTCTTCCTAGTCTATCTAAGTCTGGAAGCTCCGCTGAAATCTGTCCACCGTGGATGACACTACCGGCATTTGAAATACTGGTGGCATAGCTTCCAGCATCATAGCAACACTCAAGTCACCACAGTATGACAAACTGACACAGATGGGTGGGGGTCGTAAATATTAGATGGATGAAAATAAATAGCACCACAACAGAATTCTCCTCAAAATTATGCCCCTGAAAACAACACTATTCAATGGGGGCAATCTTTAAGGTGTTCTGAAAAGTGAAATATGGTAGGTTTGGAAGACAAAGAAGGTGGGAGGGAACACTTTTGGCAGTTTGTTAACTTTACGAAGTTCAAGGACAAATGAAGGACAAAAAAGAAGGTACTTGCTTATGGACATCCAATGTGAACAGAACTTTTATGTTTGGAATAAAGTAAGCAAGAGATTATAAAACTAGTACCACTTTTAAAACAGATTACCTTGGGCTAAGACTTGAGCTAAATAGATTTAAAAATAAAATTTGCTTAATAATTACTTAATAATAAAATTTATTTAATTTTAACACTAGAGGAGAAAGTTGACTACTTGAATGAAAGGGCTGGGCATTTCACTTGATAATTAAATGCCATTCAACTATTTAGGAAAACAGTGGAAAAGCTAGGCGCTTGGCACCTTTCATAAAAAAACACTGAAGTGCGAAGGAGAAAAGGAAAAAGAGCGGAGTTAAAATGTCATACTTCTTTAAAAAGACCTCTCAACTTCTATTAACTATGGTTTGATGGTATAAGGCCTTTCTACAAACTCAACTATGTGATTTATTTTGACTTTAGCATAATCCACAGGATGTCATTGGAAAGGTTATACAAATAAGTTACAAAACCGAGAAAACAGAAGGGAGGAGAGACAGGGTTGAAAAGTTTCCTAAAATATAGCAAAGAACATGTGTATGGAGTAGGGATTGAAGCTGGGAAGGGAGGAATGGGGAACAAGGAAGTTGGTGGAATTAGATAAACTCTCTATTTTAACGTTAGATTCATGGAATTGGTTATAGTACAAGAATAATAGAATCCTGAATCTATAAGCTTTATATTTTACCTTAGTTTCTTGGAACTGGTTACAGCACAAGAGTATAAATATGCTTCACGTCTGGTGGGTCTTTAGTCATTTGTGTATACGGATATAAAGGAAAAGATATACAACTTCTAATACCTTATCCTGTTAGAGACTTTACTATTATCGTCATCACCTTGATACCAAAGGGGAATTTGGCCCATGTTTCAAAGGATGCATTCCAAAGGGATTTGCTGCTATGTTTCCACTGAAGTTGCTTAGACAATTTGTTGTTTTGCTATACTCTTCCTCAGAGGTCAAGGAACACAGTCTGGTTTGCTGAACATCAAACAGAAGTGTCCAATTTCTGATCTCCAAGGGACAAAGCTACTGGTGGTCTAAGGAGGACATGAGAGACCTCAAAACTGAAGTCTACTGAACTGTGGGATTTTTTTTGGCAAGTGATAATGGTAGTTTGTCCAACATAAGTAAAGAAGAAGAGAGAAGGCAGCCATAAGTCTGATGTTCCAAAAAATCACGTCTGTATTTGCGTCACTGGAGAAAGTGTGTAAAGAAGCCACACTAATGAAATTATGATGGCAGCACTAATAGTTAAATGCTAGTTTCTTGTATCACAAAAACTATGTTGAGGTCTTTAGGCCCGCCAATATTTACATTTATTTGTTATTTGTGTTAACGAAAGCCAAGCTACTAAATCACTTTATAAGCCATGTTGAAATTTTTCTAAAGTTTCAGATTAGAAGGAAAAAACAAAACAAAACAAAATCTCTTACTCAATTTAACAGAGATAAATGACTTTCCTTTTAAAAAATAACACAAAAAATACTCGTTATATTTTAGAATTTTTCCTCTCAGTTTATGAGCTTGAGTTATAATAATTTAGTTATGAAAGAGGAAAATATGAAGTTTTTTTCCACTCGTAAGACAATAAGAAAGATCTATTGAGTTGATAGGTAGATAGTGCCTTTTTAATTTGCAGGAAAAGTAGGACAACTAGGAACTGAAATGATGCTATGGGTTGGAAAAAGGCAGCCAAGCCAGTCCTCCAGTCCAACTCCTTTAACTTAAATGTTAGTTAAGTGAAATTGATTCAACTATTTCTTTGCCTTTTCATTTTCAATAGTGCTATCTCTAAAATGGAGCCCTGGTGGGCAGCGATTAAGAGCTCAGCTGCTAACCAAAAAATGTTGGCAGTTTGAATCCATCAGCCGATCCTTGGAAAACCTATGGGGCAGTTCTACTCTGTCCTAGAGGTTCGCTACAAGTCAGAATCGACTTGAGGGCAATGGGTTTATCTTTAAAATAGCTATCCTGTTATATTTAGGATAAAATTTTCAGATGAAATATTCTATAGATAATATATGTTTACTGAGCAAATCATAACACAGAAGAAAGCACATACTTACTGATTTTTTTTCTCTTCTAGAGGCTTTCAGCAAAAGGATACAAAATGAATTCAAGCAAACCTCTTGTTAGGTTGTTGCTGTTACGTGCCTTCAAGTTGGTTCCGACTCATGGCGACCCTATGTACAACTGAAAAAAACACTGCCTGGTCCTGCACCATCCT